TCCCATCTTTCTTTCTCTTCCTTTTTTTTTTTTTTTTTACATTTGTTTTTATTAATGAAAATAAAATCGTTATAACTGCAAGCGTTACCAATCAAAACGAATGTAAAATAAAGAATTGCTCGTAAAGTTTGTTCAAGCTGTTAGTCGTTAAAGCAAAATTAAAACCTTGCTGTATTATGTAGTTTTTTGTCAATGTTTACATTTTCGACGTTAATTTAATTACTTTCGAAAATGTAATTCCCTTGAATATATGTGCTTTCCTTTGCGCATCGCGTGCACCCTACTCTAATTGAATTAGAACAGTATTTTTGGTAGGCTTTTTCGATCACTATTGGGGTAACTTCATCCCTTGGTTGTCTTTTCTGAAGAAGTCTCCTGTTTTGACAATATCGAATGACTAGTAACGCGACACGCCGTTGATATCGACGTAAACAAGCCAAAGAGATGCCAAGAAGTTTCTTAGACTTTATTTTCTACAAGTCATTTTTTTTTTATTTTTTTTTTTTTTTTTTTTTTTTTTTTTTCTCTTTCCTTTCTCGTATTGTATTCATTTTCTTGGAAGAAGCAAGCAATTTAAGTGAAATAGTATTAAATACGTTCATCGATAACGATGTTATCTATTCCTGGTGTTAATTATGCAAATTTTCTCTATTTATAAATTATTTACTAATTTATTTAATTTCATACAAATATAAACGAAGAATTAAAATATGTAACTAATTAATATATTTCTTTTCTTTTGTTTTTATATGCCCATACGCGTGTATTTTATATTAGTATAACTATATAACAATTAGAAACCTAGTTTTATCATATTACTCATGCATGATGACTCATTTCTACTTTGATGGTAGCAAGTTAATCTTGACGATACATGATTCGTGTATCAGTGTCACAAATTCATTGATCTAAGTGTGAAGATATTATATATTTATATTGTACATATGATTAATTGGAATCGTCAGAAGTTTCTCTGTAATAAATATTTTTTCTGAAATTTTTTAATTTTGTATTTTATATCACAAGTTCGATAGATTTATCTATATATAATTAGATACATTATCCTAGAAGATATTTATCTTGAGAGTAATTTTAAATAATAATGTATATATCTGATCGTTTCAAAGTTTCTCACTTCTTTTTAATAAAAAACGTAGTTGATTATAGTTTAATTAAATTGATTAAGATTAAATATAATTAAAATAAATATATTAAACAACGATTATTTGTTACATTATGTTTATAATATTCCGCACTAGTTTTATTGAGAAGACGATAAACATTTTGAAATATATTTGCATTCTTAAAATGGTCATGTTTTAAAACGGAATAATAATATGAACATTGAATAGAATTGCTTTTTCGTGGCAGAATCAAAACAATGAGAAATTAATTTTTCCATTTATCTAATCGATTGAAAATTATAATAGGTAAAAAAACAAACTGAGAATGATTTTTTGAAAAAGAAATCCAATCGAAGGTAGACGATAAGAATTTCAAATCGAAAATGGACAAGTTTGGCTCGGACACCAGTATTATCTTCTGGGCGTCACGTAACAGGTTTTGAATTTCGTCCCGGTACACATGTAGACATTCGACCACCCTCACGTACCTGTAAACGCGCGTCCACAATATTATGTTAACGTTGTGAAAGAGAAAGAGAAGAAGATACAGAAAGAGTAGAGTAAAGGAAAGAAGTGATGGAGAAGACGAAAGAGTGGGAGAAGGAAAGGAGAAAGGGGGAAGAAAGAGTCGACCGACCGATACGCCACAATGGCGGAGAGTTTCGGAGCAGGCAAGGCAGGCACAACGTGAGTCAGCCTCGTGGTAGGGAGTAGCGAGGTTAGTGCATTCCCCCTTAGTCCTTTACTCACACTACGCCGATCACGAGAGCGCGTTGTTTTCCTCCAAGAACTTGGGCCACGGGGCGAACTCGGTTCAGTATCAGTGTAGCGATCGCGTCGAAGGTAGTAGGACGCGAAGAAGCGTGGTAACATTTCTCTTTCTTTTTCTTTTTTTTATTCTTCACTCTCTTAACTCTTTTTCCTATTTCTTTTTCACTATTTTTCCCCTCTGTTTATTGTTTTGCTCACTCAAACCTAAGATAAGAACGTCACGCATATATGTTTTATCCTTGTTTCGCAGTGAGAAACTAATATCGTATCCTCTTCATCTTTCTTCCCATTGTTTCCTCTCTTTCATTTTTCCATATGCAGAGAATCAAGACGTGATTGGGGTAGATGTACTACTATGATCAATGTGTTACGCGTGATTTCCAATCGATGTGCGAGATCGACTTTGTCTCACCTCGAAACTTTCCTATCTAGTTCTCGTTTCACGTTCGTTTGTTCGCTTTCGCGAGTGCGTCTCCACCGTGCGTGTGCTTCCTCAGCCGTTTGTGTGTGCGCGCACTCTTACTTCTCCGTAATTCGTGGCGGCGGCGACTAAGTGCCTGTTGACTACTCGTTAGTCGCCCCTGGAATCTTCGTCGGGCACTGCTACGGAAGTGAGAGCCGGCTCAAAGCGCAATCGTTTTTCTCCGCTTTGCGAAAGAAACACGGTGATTTCTTGAATAGGTTATGTCGCGCGTGCCAATCTCTGTTTCTCGTTACAGCTCGCACACGTGAATCGCGAGTTGTGTATACATTTGTGTCGTGCTGTGTTTTTTAAGATGATTCCTGTCAGCTTGAAGGTCGAAGTGATATTCGATACCAAAGCTTGGACGTTTTCGTTCTTTGTGATTTTATTCTGACCCCAACTATTGAATTATTAGAGTGTATATAAAAAATGCGAATATCATGGTATTCAGTGTAAACTAATGTATTGATTTTATTTACGCAATTATCAGACAATTTTCTAAATTGCTAATATTTGAGGTTCGTTGGATTTTTGACTTTTTATATTATAAATAATATATCTTCAAACTACTTTTTTATACATTATGTTAATAAATTCTTTGTTTCAAACAAAGATTGATATTAGAAAAGAAGAGATTCTAGTTTAATTTATTATTAATATAATTTGTAAGATTATTTTGTATTTTATTTGAATTATATAAAATATTAAATTATATGTAATTATAAATTATTGAATATATAATTATCAAATATTTAATTCACAAATTTCTTTTTTAATGTCAATTCAAAAATATTCATCATCAGTAATGAGAAATCCTGTAATTTTTTTTGAATTAATTCTTTTTTGCAAATTATTTATATATAGCAATCACATATTTTTAACTTCATTTTTTTATTTGTATACAAAAAAGTTTCTTTCGTAACTTTGTTAAAAGTATCAAATTTGAATTTGATGTTTAATTTTAATTTTTTTTTTTATATATATTTTCTCACGATATAGTAATTTTAGTTTAATATAGTAACTTTTATTTAAATTAAAAATATATCACTTAATATTTATTGTTAGAAAAAAAATATTTGTGATACTTTTTTTGATATTAATTTTTCGTATATATACAAACGAAAGAAGTTTTGAAAGAAATGTTTGGAAGAACGCAATCAACAGTTGTTTCATAAGCTTCGGGATCGTTTTGTAACGACATGTGTAAAATCTGATTATACAAATTGAACACTTTTCGTCACAAGTTTTTGTTCGATATATCGAATTATACTATTGAACGTTCAATGTTAAAATTTTATTTGGTTCCATAGCAAATGAACCAGCTCGATGCAATTTATTGATTTCGATATGATTTTTTCTCGCGATGTAGATAATAAACCGCGGTAATTCGAGAGAAAAAGTGGTTTCCATTACGAACGATAATCGAGACATACTTGTAATTTGAGAATCACTTTTAATTTCTTTAGATTAGTGGTTTATTCTATTTGAATATTAATCTGTTCTATTATCTTGCTATGTCATTATGTATAATTCTATTTGTATTTATGATATTATTAAAATAAGATTAGAATTATTTTTCGATCAAATAATTTAAAAAGATAATATGATAAATAGTTTGGAAATTTAAAAAAAATAAATAAAATTTAATAATATTAATAGTGATTGACGAGAAAAAATATAGCAATATAAGAATGAATTATTAAATTTATTTGATAGTTAACTTGAGAACTAATTCTATATATATATATATAATAAATAATAGATAAAAGATTATTTATTAAGCATAAATATTTCTAATATTATTTTTTTTAATTAAGATTAAGAATTTTGATTATAATATATGCATAATTTTAATAAATAAAAATATCCTTGTTTAATGTATTTATATTAAATCTACGAGTAAATTTGAGAATAAAATTCGAAAAAGAGAGAAGAACATTTGTTTCTATCATTTTATTCTCAACTATATTTATGTCCTAAAGACCATACTCTTTATACCAAAAAGATGGAGGAGTTAACAACTCATCGTCGATGTATAATAGAAGATGAGAGGGAGGGGGAGAAATTACTGGAATATAAAAATACCGAGGTCTTGGTAGTTTTTGTTACTTTTAAGAGATCGTCACGAAACAAACGAGACAAGTATAATCCCAAGCGTTGTGAGAATCGAATACTTGCAAAATTCTATAGTAACCTTTTTGAAACACGTTCTGTTATGCAGGACATTGACTAGAGGTACGAGACAATTAAGAAAGAAGAGAAAAGTGTTCGCCTAAGAAGAGAATTTTCGGAGGAGGATGCTCGGCAGTTGGGGCTGGGAAGAAGAATTGGAGTTGGGAGAGGGAACAGCAACCCTGTCACAAGATAGACAAA